TGAGCACTTTGACAGCTTCGGGTGGGGCTAGGAACCTTTGATATGGACCTGCTTTTGAACGTTTGAACAAAACGTCATCAATTAATAAAAACTTGGTTACCTTCGATAGGAGTGCCCTTGCTTCTCTTTTGTCAGCTGGGAGGATGTTGTGTTTGAGATAGTTCACATATGGCTGCATCCAGTTGTTGTCCGAGATTGATTCGATGATGTTGACGACTTCCAACTTCATAATTGCTGGCTCAATCAAGTGGACGAATGATATGTTGTCGTTGCTTTCTGTCCCGAGACATGATCCTATTGATGCTAGGGCATCAGTGTGTACGTTCTCCTTCCTCCGGACTTGATCAAAGGTGATGATGTCGAAATTGTTGCTCAACTTCGTGACGACTTGCAAGTATGTCGTCATCTTTGGGTGCTTAGCTGCATAAACCCCGTTAGTTTGATTAACAATTAAAAGGGAATCTCATTTTACCTCGATTGCTTTTATGCCCAGGTTTCGGGCCAAGTTTAGTCAGAAGATCAATGCCTCGTACTCTGCTTCATTGTTTGTTGCGTTGAAATCACACCGGACAGCTTGTAGTATGGTGCCCCTTTGTGGTGACTTCAGCATGACTCCAAGGCCTGCTCCGTGGATGTTCGAGGCTCCATCAGTATGTAGCACCCACTTCTTCTCGTGTTGGTCCCCTATCAGAAGGCATACTTCCCCTTTCGCCTCTATTTGTAGTTTAAGGCAGAAGTCCACCACAAAATCAACTAGGGCTTGCGACTTCAAAGCTGTCATAGGTTCATACGTGATGTCGTAAGCCCTCAACTGTATTGACCCTTTGATCATCTGACCTGTCAGTTCCGGTTTCCTCATGATGGACTTCATGGGATAGTTAGTAGGGACGCAAATAGAATGTGATTCAAAATAAGGACGTAGTTTAACGGGTGCTAATACTAACTTTTCTAAAAGTGCGTACTTGGATTCTAGCCCGTTTAATGACTTACTTACATAGTAAACTGGTGTTTGTTGTCCGTCTTCTTCTCAGGTCAAGACCGCACTGACAGCATGTTCTGACACTGCCAGGTACAGCTGTAGCTTCTCGCCATCCTTGGGTTTTGTCAGCAGAGGTGTTGTTATCATGTACTCCTTTAGTTGTTGCAAGGCTTTTTCATGTTGTTTCGTCCATTCGGACTTCTTATTTTTCTGAGGACATCATAGAAAAGTCACCACCTGTCTGACGACTTTGATATGAACCTATTGAGTGCTGCAACTCGTCCGTCAGTCTCTGGACGTCTTTGATTGATTTGGGAGATTCGATGTCTAATATGGCCTGGACTTGTTCTGAACTTGCTTCAATTCTTCTTTCGCTGACAATGTAACCGAGGAATTCTCCCGATGAAACTCCCAATGTGCACTTGGCGGGATTAAGCTTCAAGTTATACTCCTGCAACTTCTTGAATGACCTCCGCAGGTGATCAATGTGGTCTGTCGCCTTCTTGGACTTAACTAGCATGTCGTCAATATACACTTCCATAGTCTTCTCAAGTTGATCTTTGAAGATCATGGTGACCAATATTTGGAAAGTGGCACCTGCATTTTTTAAACCGAAAGGCATGACAACATAACAATACGTACCTGTCTCGGTGATGAATGCGATGTTCTCTTAGTCATCCGGGTGTAATTGAATTTGATGGTAACCGCTGAAAGCGTCCATGAATGTCAACATTTCGTGTCCTGTTGTGGCATCTGCGAGGAAGTCAATGTGCGGCATCGGGAACGAGTCTTTAGGGCATGCCTTGCTTAAATATGTGAAGTCAACGCACACTCTCCACTTAACCTTTTTGCCCTTTTGGTGGCCCTTTTTCTTCTGAACAACAACATTAGCAAGCCAGTTAGGATATTTTACCTCGCGGACCTTACCGGTGTGTAGCAGTGTCTCGACTTCCTGATTGATGATGTCGTTTCTTTCCCCGGCGAAACGTCGTCTCTTCTTCTTGACCGGTTTATGTAAGGGGTTGACATTCAGCCTATGAGTAATCACTTGCGGATCAATCCCCGTCATGTCGTCGTGGCTCCAGGCGAAGACGTCTCCATGTTCTTCCAGAAAAACAACAAGTTCCTCATCCAGCTGAATTGACATGTTGCTCCCAATGCGGACGACTCTATCTGGGTGGTCTGGATCAATGATGATGTCTTTAATGTTGTTGTCATCTTCCCTAACCGGAGTCGCCCTTTAATTGTTATGCAGAAGTTGTGGCAGAAGTCGTCGGCTTCATTACGGTATGGTAGCATGATTTAGCAGCGACCCTGTCACCTTGGATAGATTGTACTCCCCATGGTGTTACAAATTTGACCACCTGATGGTATGTTGACGGGATTGCCCCCATTTTATGTCGCCAAAGCGTCCCCAGAATCATGTTGTAAGCGGGCAGATCTTTGACTACATCAAATTTCACTTGCAAGTTAAGACCGGCCATTTGCATGTACGGGTAAAGAAACGTTACCTATCGTTTGACTTGGCTCGCCATTGAATCCGACAAGGGTAGAGCCAAAGACAGCCAAGTCTTCCTCTTTGTATCCCATCTGTTTCAGCGTCTTCAACGTTGTGATTTTGGTCGGCTACCATTGTCAACTAATTAAGACTCGCCTCACCTCACAGTTCGCCACCCTAAGAGCAATGACTAATGTGTCATTATGGGCATCACTTAGACTAGTTAGATTCGTTTCATCGAATGTGATAGGTTCATTTCTCCATGCTTCTTCCTTTCGGACGACTTGGCACACCTGTGACGACTTGTCTCGGGAATACTCCCGAGCTTGTCTCTTTGCTACAGAGTAGGTTAGTCCACATAATCTGAACCACCATTTATGAAATTAATTACCTTTTGTGGTGCCGTAGGTGAAGGAGGTCGTTGGTGATCTTCGAGCGACTTCTGATTCCTGTACAACATGGATTTTGTCTGCTTTGACATGATCTCCGTCAAGTACCCGTTTCTCAAGAGGTAAGCAACCTCTTTCCGTAAAGCGACACAATCCTCAGTGTTGTGTCCGATGTCGTCATGGTAGTCGCACCTCTTGTTTGGATCTCGTCGCCCGCAAAACTTGTCCGATTTCCTGGGCCATCAGACCTTCTCCCCCAATTTGTCTAGGGCGTTGATCAGTCCAGCAGTGTTGACATTGAAGTAGTATGTTGGAATAGAAGGTGGCAGGCCAGGATCATCAAGCCAAGTAGTCGTCGATGCAACGGGTCGATCTTCATTCTTCGCGTAGGGTTTTCCAGTCCTGTAATCATGCTTCCTAGAGGTGCTCACTTTCTGTTGTCCTCATTGGTACCCATCAGGCCGAAGACGAGACTGTTGATCCTCTTCAAGTTGGATGAAGGCCAATGTCATGGCCTGGACATCTTCAAAAGTCTTGCAAGGAAACTTAGTCAGTTCCCTGGATAAGTCTGAGTCCTCACGTAATCCTCTCCTGAATGCCTCCACAGCTGTTGGTGTGTCACATCTTGGGATCGACGCCTTCTCCTTGTTAAATCGGTGCAAGTAGTCTCGTAAGGACTCATTGCGCCTTTGGGTCACACGATACAGTTCGCTGGTTTGCTTTTCCAGGGTCCGACTGCTTGCAAATTGCTGGGTGAACAGGTTAACCAGCTCCGCAAATGAATTGATGCCCCCGTTTGGTAAGTTGACGAGCCATGTCAACGTTGGACCCGTCAATGTCGTCCCGAAGGCCCTGCACATATAGGCCTCCCGTTGGTCGGGTCTGACAGAAATTGCTAACATTCGCTGCTTGTACTGAGCGACATGTTCTACTGGATCGGAGGTTCCGTTAAACAACTTCATTGATGGTGCGGTGAATTTCCTTGGAATCTCAACGTCTGCAATATGTCGTCCGAAGGGTGAATCCGCATGGCAAGTTTACGTTGCCATGTCAAGTGGACGAGGGACCCCTGGTATGCCGTTAACCTTTTCTCGCAATTCCCTCAATTCCTCCATGATGATGGCTAGCGGTCCTGTCATGTTCGTCTGCAACTGCGGATCTACCGCTTCGGGAAGTATCCTCTGCTCGGTTAGTGACTAAATGGTGATGACCTCTCGTTCCTGACGCCCTTGATTGTGGATCTCAACACCTCTGGTCATGTCGACACGGCCCAGAACTTGTCGTCTCTAGGGTTCAGCAAATAAATTCCGGAATAGGTTCCTTCTGGGATTTGGGAGTGAGACAGGACGAGTTGAAGGCCCCGCTCCTCCACATGTGCCGGTTCCGGAGTGAGGGACGAAAGGCACCGCTGGTGCCGACATGGTGATCGATAGGGATCGACATCTGTTGGTTGACAGTCTGCACACCTGATGTCTTTGGCCTGGTCCGCAACGAATCTGGGAAAAAACATATCGGGATGCTCGCTGCTGGAGTCGTTTCCGGGACAAGGGGTTCGTAGGGCACAAGTTGCGAAACCACTGGGGAGTATCCGGCATATGGATCGAAATCCAATATTTCCGGAAAAGACTCGGTTGTGAAGGTGAGTGCGGAGGTTGAGACCGGTATGGAGTCCATGTCCAATCTTGATGCTGCGGTCATGACCTCCTTCTCCTTTCGAGAGTTGGATGCTATGGACGCCACCGACTGTACCTGAGATCTTAAAGCGTCGTTCTCGCCTTGGAGTAAAGCCACCCGCTGACGCATCTCCTCACAGACAGATTCTAACTGCGCCGCGTCGGCATTATTGGACGTGCGAAGCTCTTCTCGGACAGCTTCTAACTGCTCTGCGTCGGCATTTCTGGACGTGCGAAGCTCTTCTCGGTCGGCTTCCAACTGTGCTTGGATCTCATTCACCAGGGAGTTAGAGCTTTCGGCCATAATTGATTCTCTTTTTGCAAGATTTTCCCACAGACGGCGCCAAATTGTTTATACCGGAAATAAACTAATCTAACGATTGTAATTAAAATGGGAATCAAGCAATGAAGAACCAAATACGGACTGAATTAATAAGGATAATACGAAGAATATATATGGAGAATAATTATGCTTGAGTGTTGACATTATAGAATGACTGAGCTCGAGTGTGTGTATGATCTCATATGATCGTGTGTTACAATGGAGTTTAGCTAGTGTATTTATACAAAGGAATTTACTTATTCCCCAAGTGTAGCGACCATTTTCCTACTTTCTCTCCATGTGCAACCGCTCCCTCTCAGCCTTTGACTCCTTCCACGTTCTTATCTTCTATTTTGAATTATCAAGGGCTAATAGTTGGACTTCTTTTTACTTCATCAGTCACGACTCACGATGGACTTTGGCCACTAAATGAACCCAGTAGTATATCGGCCCACTTGAACGGATGTTAACTGGGCCCAACATATGCCATAGTACATTTTACAATTTCAATAGTGAAACATTCATATCATTTAATTTCCATATTATAAATAATTTTGTACGAAAATATAACACTTCTTAGAGTATAACACATTCAACCAAGAAATTTCGAATATATCATTTTATGACGACATGCATGGTGATATGAAAATAAAAATTAAATAAATAGAAAAACATGGAGGTTACCGGATTCTACATAAAATAATGCGTTTACAAAGATAAACAGAGTCCACACCGAACCAACAGTAACAGTGTTGCTATTGGGATTCAAGATGCATGTTTTCAATTAAAGTTTTTAAATTACAGAGTACTTTCATTCCAAGTCAAACCAGGTGGATTAAATTTAACCAAATTATATATTCCTGATAGTATTAAATCAGAGCAGACTTCAACCATAATAAAATTCTAACATTTATCGGATCAAATTTGAACAAATTAGATCAACTCAGATTCAAACTGAACCAACTCAATCATATTAAAAAGTTCAATGTAATAAAAAATATTGTGAGGAAACGATCCAGCTCTGCTGGTCACCTACTCTTTTTCGGGAGGCTGGTCTCGATCGGGAGGCCGATATCTGATTGAAATTCCTTGAAAAAAGTTTCAGTCTTGTTTACCTCAGACTCCCTCCATCCACCTCCGGATAAAAAAAAATATTGACAGCAAACTAACCACATATATACCTCCATTTACTCATTTAGAGAGTTTACTTGTAAATAAATAAATTAATGTTTAAATTCTTTAGGAATCTACTCCGTATATAGTTTCCGGTTGAATCTTTATTCAATTCAACTCTGGACATACGAAATTAAATAAGTGAATTACGGTCTACGGACTACGTACGATAGTTTTTCACAGGTACAAACTACAAATGGTGCAATATAATTAATTAATCAATTAATTGTATGATCAAAGGGGGAAATTAAATCCTTTCAAACTTTACAACTTGCGAAATACCTATGTTTAATAAACCGGACCGGACCGGGCGGGTCGGCCCGGAAACCGGTGAACCGGAGTCCTACCCGGTCCGGTTAGACATTGACCCGCAAACATTGCTTAAACCGGAAAAACCCAAGGATCCGCTCGAACCCGGGCACGGCCCAGACCCGCACAAACCCGGGAATTCAGTCGAAACCGGTTGTTTATAAAATACAAAATTGCAACACAAGAGGGAATCGAACCCAGGTGGAACGTGTGAAAGATAAATGCTATGCCCAGCTGACTACAACTACAACTTGTGCTATATTCGCTCTTTAGCAGTTATTATACACATCTAAAATGTTAACATGTTAAATACATAGTAAATGGTAATCCGTATCATTTTACTATCCTATACGTATTAATATTTACTCCTTATATATCATTCAAATATCAAGTAAAATACCTAAAAGCACTTCTAACATTTTATAATATAAAGTAAAATACTTAAATACACTGAATTTTAAATATTAAAAAACGAATAATAATTCTTATTCAACGCTATATTCAAATATTTTAGAACTAAAACAAATATCCAAAAATGTTTTGGACATAAAAAGTTGCTAACTAAGTATAATTATTATTTTATCATACTCAAGAATTTGTTTAAGTATATTAATATATATGTTTATTACTAAAAAAATTATATAAGAGTTGACCGGGTTTTCCGGCGTTGACCGGGTTGACCCGTCGGGTCCGGGTTGACCCGTGACCCGATCATTCGTCCGGGTCACCTCCCGGTCCGGTTTTTACAACATAGCGAAATACTCGGCAGGTTTGTTTTTTTTTTCTTTTTTTTTATTTCTTCGAGAGAGGATTAAAACCCAACTCCAGTCAGTAAAAAACAATTAGTAATTAATAAAAAAAAATTATACTCGTAATAATCTATCAGAGCTGGCTATTAATTTCCTGCCTGGACTATATTATGATGAGGATCGGATCGGATAGGATAATCACCATCCTCACATCGCAGCTCCATCAACATCTATCTCCGGCCGTCGGATCATATACTTTATCGAAGCATGGACGTCAGCGATTGGAACACGTGTTCGTCGCAGGGAATGGTGAGGCCCCCCATGTCGTGGTCAAACCCGAAAACCTCCTCGGCCCGGTGGAGAAGCCGCTGGAACTCGGGCCGGGCCAAGAAGGAGATGGGGACAATGTACCTACTCCGGTTTTCTCCGACGTAGACGACGAAGTGTCCTTTGGGTACGTCAAGGGGGAGTTCATCGTCGTTGTTGTAGCCATGATGTTTTTTGCCTAGGCTGGAACATCTCTTCACTATTTGCTTGATCACTACGCCTGTTTGGTAGAGCTTGTTTAATCTTCTGTTGTCCATTCTAGCTCTTAAAGGGGATGGTGGATGGTGGGTGGTGGAGATGAACTTTTTCTTGATCTGTCTTGGTGTTTGACAATAATGGTTTGGTCTGTTCGTGGGGTATTTATAGCGAATCCGTTTTGGAAAACATAAAAAGTACTCCGTATAATATAATGTCAAATAAAACAAATCAAATTATGGACGTGTTTGCCAATTAGCGGATAGTGGGTTATGTTAGTAGGTTGTCAATAGGAGATTTTGTTGGTGAGTTTGATTAGTGGAATAATTTGACAGATTGCCAGAAGATGTTTGGTAATTTAGCTGCTTGATCATAAAATTTACTACGTTAAGTTTGAAAGTATTTAATTTCAATTCAGTGAAAACGCCAATTATTGAGTAGTTTGAAATTACAGCTTTTTCACTGAAAGATAGCCTAGCGGCCGTCTTATTGAGGCGCACTTTTCGCTATTCTTCTTTTTATTTTCCGGGCACTTTTGAAAATCAAAGTTACTTTTAATGATCTTTTTCAGACGTTTTTAACGGCATGACCCTCTTGTGATAACGAAATTCAAACACATGAACCACTTTAATAAAGAATAAAACACATGAACCTATCTGAAAATGGGCTCAACCAGAAGTGCATTTTCCGTACTTCTCCCGAGAAATTATATTGCTTCAAATATGACTAAATGAAGCATAGACAAAATCACAAAATGGTTAAATAGAAGTAATAATTATATGTTTATTTCCAAAATATATACTCCGTATATACTTCGTATATGACTTCTTTAATTAAATTGATCTTTAATCATATTCAAAGTACAAAATTTCCTCATTTAGGAGTAAATAGAGAAGTTTTGCTTTTGTTGAATAGTACATATATGTACGTATATTTATGACATTTACTAGTCCAAAATTACTGTATGGCGCTCATAGACCATAGTTTTCCTTCACGTGGGCATGGTGCATGTGAAGAAACTTTCAATCTTGGAGTATTCTCAATGACAAGTGAGTATGATTAAAATGTTCTAGTAAGTCCTTTAAATTGACTATCTTTATTGTACGACCCTTTTTTTTTAAAGATGTACAACCCATCTTTAAAACACATACCAAGAATTAATATTTATTCATTTTCATTAGACTTTTAAAGTCTTTTTATTCATTACAAATTCTTATGATCTATCCTTGCTTGAGCCACTTCACTCAAATCGCCAATTCATTGTAGCTCATTTTTTTACAGGTTTCTGACCACACTGCCGTACCCCTTGAAGCATTTACTACAAAAAAAACACGGGATTGGCGGGGATTTTGGTAGGGATTTGGCGGGGATTTTGGTAGGGATTTGGCAGGGATTTTGACAGGGATATGCCAAATCCGTGCCAAAAACACTTTGGCATGCACGAGCTATTTGGCACGAAAAATCGTTAAGTCCGTGCCAAATTCCGTGTCAATCCCGTAATTTTTTTGTATTGTCTAATCTAACGTTTGCCCAATGTGATCGAAGGCTTGATATCAAAGCATAAACAAGACTGCATGTACTATAGTCGCCATGGTAAAATATACTACGGGTATTCAATAAAAAATGAAAGTAAAATTAGGTATGTAGCCACGTAGGGCAATACATGAATAACATGATTCATTTCTCTTCCATTATATCTTATGTAAAATTATTATTTATATTTAGATATATAGCATTTTTGTATAAAACTGTATGAAAAAAAAAAATATCCGTACTACGTACTCCGTTCAACATAACATCGTTCACTTAATATTAAATCAAGCTACACTGTACCAAGACTCAAAAAATGCAATCTAGGATTAAGGTGCTGTTCTGTTCGTCTTATTCTTATTACTTATTGCTTATTCTTATTTTATTCAGATCAGATCAGATCAGAAAAATTCAGATCAGATCAGATCAGATCAGAAAGATTCAGATCAGATCAGATCAGATCAGAAAGATTCAGATCAGATCAGAAAGATTCAAATCAGATCAGACCAGATCAGAAACATTCAGATCAGATCAGAAACATTCAGATCAGATCAGATCAGAAAAGTTCAAACATGATTTATCATTTTTATTATTATATTAAATATTAGTTATTATTATTAATATTGTTATTACTATTATGATTATATTATTATATAATTATTATTAATAATATTAATAATAATATGATTAAAAAAGATATTAATAATAGTTATAATATTTTAATATAATAATAGTAATATAAATGCAATTGTTCAGAAGACTATTATTATTATTATTACAATATTATAATAACCATAATATGATTAATATTATTATAATATTATATTATAATTATATGTAATTATAATTATAATTACAATTATAATTCTTATAATTATAAGTATAATCAATTGTAATTATTATAATTATATCTATAATTAATTATAAATATAATTTTAATTAATTATAATTATAATAATTATAATTATAATTACAATCATAATAATAATTATGATTATAATTATAATTATAATATAATATTATAATAATATAATACTAATTATAATAATAATCATATTATTATTATATTATTGTAATAATAATATTAATATAATAATATCGTTATAATAATATTAATTGTATTTATATTACTATTATTAAATTATAATATTATAATTAATGTTAATATAATTATAATTATTATTAATTATAATTATAATAATTATAATTATACTTATAATTATAATAATTATAATTATACTTATAATTATATTATAATTATAATTTATGATTATAATTATTATTTTTATTATAATTATTAATAATATTATTATTATTACTATTGTAATTATTTTTACGGAGTAATTATAATAATATTGATAAGTATAGTTACAATTATAGAGATAAATATTGTAATTATACTTACAATTATAATTATAATTTTATTTAAATTATATTTGTAATTGCAATTATAATAATTATAATTATAATTATAATTATAATTATAATCATAGAAATATTTGAATCAGATCAGATCAGAAAGATTCAGATCAGATCAGAAGGATTCAGATCAGATCAGAAACATTCAGATCAGATCAGAAAGATTCAGATCAGATCAGATCAGAAAGATTCAGATCAGATCAGATCAGATCAGACAAATTCAGATCAGATCAGATCAGATCAGAAAAATTCAGATCAGATCAGATCAGAACTTAAAAAATTCAGATCAGAAACATTCAGATCAGGCGAAGAGAACAACTTCTAAAACAAGCTTTTTGGGTCAAAACGTAAAAACACACAGTATTAGTGCATTTTAATTTAGTGTTATTTGGATTTAAAAAATCGACTATATATTATTCGCTAATAGGAATTAAGAACTAGTTGGAGGTAAAGCAAATAAAGTTAGTCCTCTAGAGCGGCCCGGCCTGTTTGAAAACACTTAAATTTGGGGGGTGGGGGAATTAGCTAAAATTGTCAAACTATGGAAAAATTATATATAAAATATATTTTAGTAATAAAAATTACATGAAAAATAACTAAACTCGTGTTGTAGAGTACCTTCAACCAATTGCAACAAAAAAGTAACTGTAACCTTACAAATTTCGATTAGTACTCATTTCAACGCGTTGAAGTCAAAAACTAATATAAATTTGGTTGATAAGTTGAAAGTAGATTACCAAACGAACTTTAATTAAATGAAAATTGAAAACTTTCAAGAGTTTCATCCTATTACGCCATCTTAATTAACAGAATTGCGAATAAGATCAATTACAACATATAATATCCTCATTCGATCCTCTTCCCAAAAGCACATATAATCCCACCACATACTCCCCCTCTCTTCCATCGTCCCACGCCCCCACCTGTCCTCCCCTCTTCTAAATAAACCAAACACGGAGTTGGCCAGAAAAGGAAACACTATTCTGTTTGTGTCAAGATATGCCTTTATAAAATTGTCAAATGACAAAGTGGTCGGTAGAAGTATACTCTACAAGTAAATTAGAAAAGGAATTTAAGGTCCATGATGACCCTTACTTAAAGGGAAACAGTTTTCCGTTAAAAGTAAAAATGAAATATTTTAGATAATGTAGTTAAGCAAAAGTAAGGAAACAAGTAAACATATACTCCGTATAGGAATTGAAATTTTGCGTTTAAAAGTACTCCGTAATAAAGAAGCATGTAAGATAATGGAATTAAGAAAAAGTTTTGAAATCAAGAAAACGTGAGGAACGGAAATAGAACGTTTAAATTAAAATAGGAGAAGTACAAATTAATAACTTACTCGCAGACTATTATAAACCCTACTAAAAATCCAATTTATCTAACCTATTTATAGTGTGTGCTCAATAGCATTGAGATGAGGTGCAAATTAACTAGCACGTGAATTAATAAAGTAAAAATTGTGTAGTTGAGATTTGTGTAGGGGAGAAAGAATTAATTGGAATTACAATTTTTTTACTTAAAAAGTAAAGTGACAAAATTTTAAGGGACAGAGGAACTAATAGTTTATGTTTTAGTATATTTGAAATTAGACACACATGCATATATGTGTGTGTTGTGTGTACATACATACACAGATTAAAGATTATATACATATTTAAAGATTATATTGATGAGAATTGTAATTATTAATTGTGATAAATGAACTAATAATGGCCTTCATAAATGAAGTAATTTAGAACAAAAAACCTCATGTGAGGAACTCTTGTTTTTCGTATAAATTTTTAATTAAACAATAATACCCCATTAATTTTCTAAAATGAATAATAATTCAAGCATTTTTCCTGATAAGAGATTCAACTAATGTGCTTACAATTGTAGTTTACAGATAGTAGGATGGATAATACTAGTTACAACTGTAATTCAACTGCTATATATATCCCTCACTGATGGATCGCATCATCATAATTCACATTGGCAATTAATTGGTAACCGTACGTACCACTTTTGCCTGAGTTCTTCCATAAAATATGTGGAGTAGTTTATTTTCGGTATATATTAAACTATTAAAGTGGTTTCACTATCATTTCTTTAACTTCTAAAATTGAGCTTATTCGTAGTCTATTTTATTCTATGGTACCCATAAGGTACCATACCTTTATCCACATGAACCAATGAGAATGTTGCAGTTGAATTATT